CGACATTACTCATTGACTGTCAGCTACTTTTTTGGTTAGAATAAATCTGTTCATTAGAATTTATCGTCAAGACAACGGCATAATTACTACTTTTCATGCTTGAAATCAATATAGAACTTACGAGCTACAGAGCAATTTATTACTTTCAAGCTCTACGCAAGCACGCAAAAGTAAACATGAGTACTAGCAAATATTATTTCTCTCTTTTAATAAGCCTTACTTAATCACTAGCATAATATATGCTACTTCCTAACCTTTTTTAGCCATATGTAATTTTCTGCCTCTATACCACTTAACATTTTCACGTCTGCGACACATATTACTCATAAATGTGTAAGTAAATAAGAGCAATTTACTAACTAATACTTTTTTAGTAAGTAAATTGCTTTATTGCTACGCTAAAGACTTTTGGATAAAGCATATAATGGCAATATAATGTTAAATCAAATGGGATTAAACAGCATTTGTGTTAACAAAATTACTTCTTTACATGTCAAACTGAGAACATTTATTTAGAAAGACACATATTTTCAAGCTTTTCCATTATATAAATAATTTTATTATTATTATTGTTATTATTACTATTAATTAATTAATTAATTTATTTATTTAAATAACAAAATAGCAAAAAAATGTTTATTTCTTTGTGGGCATTTTTTGAATTAATAATGAAAAAGTGAGTAGCATTGCTATTTTACATTTGCAATGAAAGCTTTTTTGGATTAGAAAAGCAAAACTTTCCAAATAAGTTTGATTTTCGAGTACAAAATGATTAAATTTACTTCAGTTTTTACAGTTAATAAATGAATGAAAATATTACAAAAAGACCACAAAATGCATTACTGATATCACTGTAAACAAGTAATGAATTATTGTTATAATTGAAGTAGCTTATGTAAATGATACAGAAGGAAGTGATAAGTATGAATGCGAGCAGAAAATTGTTATTAATTTATTTTACTATATTAAAAAGGGCATCACTCTCAAGTCAAGCTAATAATCGCAGTAACTACTATAAAGGTCAAAGGTGGTTATTGTAAATAAGAATTTGTTAGAGGTCAAAGATTGCCACCCATTTCGATTCGATCAAAAATCGATATTGAGAGAGAAATATAATTACCAACACACTTGTACAAAATGAGAAGTGCAGTCTTCTCATTCAGAGTCAAAACAAGATTTTGTCTACGTGTGATTCTTAGACCAGTTTGGGAGACAGTTCACAGCACAACATATAATGATGAAGTGGAATTCAAAAAAGAATTGAAGAACTGAAGAATAGACTTTGAGTTGAGAGATAAATTGATGAAAACTTGCAAGAAAAAGTCTATACTTTGTTGAGTACAAAATACAATACATTACATTCAATAAAAATCTTAATAAAACAGCGCATGTGTTGCCTTTAGTCATAGTCGTTACAAGGGTCAAAGCATGTATATGCGATGACATTTTCGTTATAATAGTGACTAATGTTTCCATTGATTAAGCGTAAAAAGTGGAAAGGCAGATCAAGTTATATGAAAAACAAAAACTAATCATTAAATTCAAACAAAACTTAATTTCTTTAAGCCAAATACAACTAATTAGACTAATAATTATGAGCAGAACACAATCAGACATAGTCTCACTGCTCATTTAGAGATATCGGAAATGATAAGAATAGCAAAGTGCATCAGTGAATCAGAAAATAGCAATGGATAATTAGTCTACTTCAGTAATTTAGTATAAAAATTTGAGTAAAAGTATTCTATTCAATTCTATCAAAGTATCGTTTGATATCTGTTATTTCCGCACACACTGCAAATCAAATAATTAATTGTAATATTCGATAAACAAATAAACATTTTTAAAGAAAATTTTATTATTCTTTCTGCTTGTTTTGTATTTAATAATACTTTTTGTATTTATAATTAAATTAATTTGTGCTGTTTATTTCAATGCACAAATGCATTTAATAATTATCCCACCGATTACTTTTAACATTTGAATCCAGAGTAGCTTGCTAAGCTTCAAATCCAAAAATAACTTCAAATCACTAATTCACAAATTACGTTTGACCTTAATATATTTAGCTGGAAAATCAAAAATATTTGACATTACGCCAAAAATTAATTATGCACTCACATATTCGTGAAAAGGAAAACAGCGTACCTAATTACGACAATAATCTATGTGGTTGCTAGTTATATCAATAAAAGACTTTTTTATTCATTTTCAAATTTTAAATTGTTAAGACAATGCTCTGTAAGTTCACGAAGTATTTTTGAGTCCACCAAGTAAGTACGTGAAACCATGCTGAATTAATTTTAAGACGTTTCTTTGACATAAAAACTTGACTTAGTATAAATTTTCAAAGTATAACTCAATTTTAGCATTTTCAAAGAGTCAGATTTAAAATATTTTTAACTTTTTAATGAGAAAAAATTTTGATTTCTAAATATGGCTACAATTTTCGATCAATAGCAGCAAAACTGGACAGCTGTATAAATTTAATAGTTCAGCAGAACAAGAGGAGACATAATACTACCATACATAATGACTATAATATCCACCTTCTCTCTGCCCTTGAAGGATTAATTTCAGTTCAATTTGGAAATGAGAGAAAATAATGAAAGCAAGACTAACAGGAAAGCACTGAACTTAATGACAAATAATATTTCTGTTTACAAAAATGAAGAATGATTTGAATAACTAACATGGGAGAGGGATTATCTTCTCAGCACTGAATTTTGATGCAAATATTAATGCAAAATAAACTTTCCACAACCTTAATGAATCTCAGAAGTAATCAGTTAATTTGATAAGCAGTGAGTTCTTGATATGACTCGGCACAAGCTATCAGAGCACACACAATCTCTAATGAACTACTCAAATATTATAAGTTATTACAATTTGATCTGA